TATTTAAACTCCTTCCAAGGTTTTTCTTTAAGCTTCTATCAGGGTGCTGCCGGGTATCCCAGAACATTCAGCGTAAAAATCTATCACTACAGCATTGCTGTCCAAATATGACTTTGTGAACTGGCCGGCTATGTCTAAGTTTGTGGACCAGCTCCCTGAATCCTCCAGGGAGGAATTTCAGACATTTATCGCCAAAGGCTGCTTGGTGGCTAAAACTTGGTTGCAGTCCGCACTGGACGTCACAGGTACTTTGGCCAAAGTGATGGTATCAGTGGTGACTGTGAGAAGGGCATCCTGGCTACAGAATTCGGACATTACTCCCAATGTGCAACAGGTGATAGATGATTTGTCTTTCAATAGCCGAGTTCTTTTTTTAGATAAGATGGATGAGACTCTGCACTCCTTCAAGGACTCTAGGGCTACCCTATGGTCCTTGAGGGTCTACGTGCTGGCAGTACAGAGACGCAACTATGGTGGTCCTCAGCAGCAACAGTATAGTCCACAGAGAGTGTTTGGGCAGCCTTTCCCCCCGAGACAGCGGGATTACCCCAGAAGGGCATAGGTCCCAGAGGAGGAGGCATTCAGATCCTGGGTTTGACCAGTTAACGTGCCTTCTCCCGGTACCCCCCAAGCACTCATTTTGCTTCCTTCATCTGGAGCAGTGTTCCAGTCATCACTCCCTTCTCCCCAACCCCTCTGTTTGGGGACAGGCAAACTCGCTTTCACAATGTTTGGGGCTTGATCACCCCTGACAGCTGGGTCCTAGGCACTGTCAGATCAGGCTATGGCTATGACTATGACATCCAGTTCCTTTCCATCCCTCCCCCACTCTCTCCCTCCCCGCCCCTCTTCAGAGACCCTTGTCATGAGTTACTGCTCCTTGAGCTGGTTCGCTTTCTACTGGCTTTGAAAGTGATGGAGGAGATTCTACTGGAACATCAGGGTAAGGACTTCTATTCCCATTTTTTTCTGGTGCCCAAGTCCAAGGGAGGGGTAAGACCCATTCTCAACCTTCGTGGCCTCAACAAATATATCACATACATGAGGTTCTGAAGGGTCACGCTATCGACTATCCGGCACGCATTATCTCAGAACAACTGGTTAGTAGCTCTGGACCTTCAGGCTGCCTACTTTCATGTGGCGATTTTGCCGAACCACAGAAAATTCCTTCAATACGTCATAGTGAAACACCATTTTCAGTACACTGTGCTTATGTTTGTCCTGTCTTCTGCCCTTTTGTTTTTACCAAATGTATGCTGTCACCCCACGCCCATGCCTCAGGAATAAAAGAATCCACATATTCCTGTGCACTGGAAGACTGGTCACTGAGGGGCAGGTCCAGAGAGGAAGTCCTTTCTCATGTCCTTTTTCATTGTGCTTGCTCAACTGTCTGGGTCTCATCCTAAATACCAGAAAGTCAACTTTGGTTCCCACTCAGAAAATCAAGTTCATTCTGGTCTTAATAGACTCTACAAGTTTGAGAGCATTTTTGTTGACCGCCACTTTTGCCTCAGTCTTCAGAGTCAGCCTTCCTCAACAGTTTGGATGTGCCTGAGCCTCTTGGTCCGCATGCAGGTGGTCCAGTTTGCAAGGTTGTGTCTTTGCCCCCTTCAAATGTGGCTCAGGATAGCTTATCATCTGACTCTTCACTTCTTGGACAGATTGGTTTGTCTTCCTACACCGGTCCTGAACTTGCAGTGGTGGACGCTTCCAGAGAATGTTTGTCAGGGCGTTCCCATCATCCAGACCTTACCAATCAGGTCTGTGGTCACAGACGCCTCCCTGATGAGGCTGGGGAGCATATTTGGGGTCACTGAAAGTTCAACATCTGTGGTCAGAACAGGAGTCCTTACTACATATCGATGTGCTGGAGCTTCGTGCCATCTACAATGCATGTCATGCTTTTCTGGACTGTATCGGGCTCAGTGGTTCACATACTTACCGACAATACGTCATTCCGACGTGTTATGTGAACAGGAAGGGGGGAGCACACTCCAGGATGCTCTGCCAAGAGGCAGTCGGGTTGTGGCAGTTCTGCTTGAAGAGAGTATCACTCTGATAGCTAATCACTTGCCTAGAGTCCAGAATCATCTTGCGGAGCATCTGAGCAGGAATTTTTCCCTGAGTTATGTGTGGTCCCTGAAGATAAGTATCCTCTGGGTCATCTTCATCTCCATCCTCTGGTCTGAGAGCTGGTTGCTCTATTGGACCGTAACACGATCCTAGCGGCTTTAATGGGACATCTATTCAAGCCTTGGGAATCTTGTTCCTTTCCACTTTTGTGTCAGAAGATTGCATTCCTGGTAGCGATAATTCACAAGGAGAGTCTGTGAATTGCAGGCTCTCCTGGCAGAAACGCATTATAAACAGTTCTCTAAATACAAAGTGACTTTATGACCGTACTCCAAAATGTTTTCTAAACTGGTTTCTCAGTTTCATTTGAACCAGGTGGTATGTTTACCTGTGTTCTTTCCTAAGCCATATTCATCTCCGGAGGAACATCACTTCCATACATTAGCTGTCAAGCAGTGTCTAGCCTTCTATCTGGACAGAACTAAACTGTTTCATGCTTCACTTCACCTGTTTGTGTCATATGCAGATTGTGTGACGGATCAGATCATCTCTTCACAGATGATCTCTGAATGGATAACATCCTCTATCAAGACTGCATATGAAATAGCTTTAGCTAGGCCTTCTCAGCAGGTACGAGCTCATGCTATGAGAACACAAGCAATGTCAGTAGTGTTCCTCAGGGATGTGTTGATATTGACATATGCAGGGCTGCTATGTGGTCATCCATACATATCTTCACAAACCATTATGGCATTACCGCACCTCCCAAGGTGGATGCAAGTTTTGGTAGGGCGGTCTTGCAGTGCTGTTAAGGTACACCTCTACCCCGATATAACGCAACCTGATATAACACGAATTCGGATATAACGCGGTAAAGCAGCGCTCCGGGGGGGGGGAGGCGGAGCTGCGCACTCCGGTGGATCAAAGCAAGTTCGATATAAAGCAGTTTCACCTATAACGCGGTAAGATTTTTTGGCTCCCGAGGACAGCGTTATATCGGGGTAGAGTTGTAGTCTCCAAGACCCATCTCCTGGAGTGGGTGCTGCTTGTGAGTCACCTAATTGGAATACACTGTTGCATCTACTCGAAGAAGAAACAGTTATAAGAAGTAACTGTGGTTCTTTGAAATGTGATGCAGATGTAAATTCCGCAACCCACTGTCTGTCCCCTCTGCATCAGAGTCTGATCTCTGGATGTTTGGTACAAAGGAACTAGGGGGCAAGGGGTTGAGGCTTTGCCACCTCCTGTTGCCAGGGGAAGAGCTATAAGCATGAGGAGCGAGCTCCGCCTCCTATGGTACTGGTAGGCAAAGTTCTTCAGCTCCAGAGCATTGGGTGTGCATGCACCGAAGTGGAATACACATCTGCATCACATCTCGAAGAGCCACAGTTAAAGTAAGTAATTGTTTCTTCCATTCCAGATTCTGGAGGGGAGTATTCTGTAGTGGACACAGTCTAATAACCATTCATCCACCCTAGGTTTGACCCATTCCAACCTGTCCCAGTCCTATCTTTTCCCCAACCCTCACTCCTTGTCCCAGTCCTATTCTCCTTGCCTGCCCAATCCCAGTCTCCACTCTTCAGGTTTCTCATCCAAGTTTCCTTGTCGAGCCAATCCTAGTCTCCCCCTCTGAATTCACTGTCAGAGTCCCAATCTACCCACTCACTCAAGTCTCTCCTCTTTACCACACCCAGTCCTTTTCTCCTTGACCAGCCAGTCTGTTTTCTCACCCAGACTGTCCCAGTTGCTCCTTTTCCTCCTCAACTAGTTACCAGAGCTAGTCTCCCTCCCAGGCTCCTCTTCCAGTCTGTGTCCTCATGCCAGTGCTTTGACCCAGTCTTCCCAGTTCTCCTCTGGCTTTCCAGCTCCTTGTTAGATCTTACTGCCCTCCACCCCAGTTCTGCCCCACAATGATTCTAGTACAGTCTTGTTGCCAGTCAGTCCCAGTCTCCCCTCCTCCCCACACCTCCTCATCTGATCTGTGTTCTCTCCCACCACCAACCTCCACTAGCTGGCTCCCAGTCTCTTACCTCCTCCCCATTTCCCTTACTGGCTTCCGGTCCCAGCCTTTCCCACCCCATGGTTCCCAGTCTCCTTAACCCATCAGTCCCAGTTTTTCTCCCTCCTTCCGCCGCCACTTCCAGTTTCAGTTTTACCAGACATCTTCTCCCGCTCCCTGGCTTTTGTCACTTCTACATTCAAATCACATGGCTTCATCGATCATGTTTTCTGGGTGCCATCTGCGTGATCATTAGGAGCATTGAAGAGGAAGGATCCCTACTCTCTTTTTCAGTGCCTGGCAGCACCCTGGCCTGGTGCAGCTGGAAGCAGCCATTGAAAGGAAAGCCTGGCTTTGCCCTTGTAGCCCTGGGCTGGATGGCATAGGCTCAGTTGCTCTGGTGGGAAGGTGCATGTGCCCTCCAGTTGGCATTGAGAGCTGTGAGAGGTTTGAGTATGCTCAGTGAGGACAAAATTTTCAGAGATTTTTAGCAGCTAAAATCAAAGTATCTACTGAGCACGTGCAAACTGTGATTTTTTTTTTTCATTGGCTTTTAATTTGACCAAATTTGGGTAGATTTTAACAAGAATGGTGAAAGACACAAAGGCCATCCTCTTTCAAATTTCAGGGTCACCAGTATTGCTTTAACATGGGCAAAACAACATATTTTCCCCTAGCCTCATTCTTGGAAACAGCTGAACTGTTTTGGCTGAAATTTTCCAAAAAAATTCAGTAAGAGGCATGGTATGGAAATAGTCCAAATAATTCAAGTTTGACAAAGCTATAAGCAATTGAAAATAGAGTCTTATAATGGGAACTGTCAGGAAACCCTAACAATAGGGAGTGCTACCAGCACCGCCTATAATTAGGATATGCAGGAACAGTACAAGAAATTGGTTGATATAAATTGTTATTGTCTGCTTTACAGATAGCAGTGAGTCGTACCTAGTCTCTTCCCAACAGAGTGTCGACCAGCCTCTTTCTCCTATTTTGAGGACAGGCCATCTTTCATCTTCTGAGTCTGCTCCTTCCTCTCCAACCAGTCATGGACAAAAGTTGAGGTAAGTATTGTAACACTATCTGCAGTTCTGAAAGATCATTTTAACCATTTCTTTTAGAGAAACTTATGCCTTATTGGTTAGGTCACATGATTACAGCCATCTTTCACTGTGTATGAATTAGAGCTTTTCTAAAGATACCATGTGTTCAGGATTCTCACACTTGTGTCTAATGTCTCCAGTGTAAGCCGTATGGAAACTCCCCTTAGTTCTTTAAATTTTTTGACTTTATGTCCATAGGCTGGCCAAAGGGCTCTGCCCTACTGTATCTAACTTCAGGTACTTCATAGGTATTCCAGAACATTCCAGCCAATTCCTCTCTGAGCAATAGTCGTTAGTGAAGAAGTTACCCTGGAAACTGTCCAATGTTTCTAATTAAAATAGTTGCAGTTTTTTCTGCAGTAGCCCTTGTTCAAGGACTGGATATTCTTGTTTTGTTGTCATCTGAATTTCAGTCAGTCTTGATCCTTATCTTTTTGACTTTTTGTAGCTCTGGGGGCTTACAGGGAATCAGGTATTTATTTAATGTGGCAGATTATTATATGTCTGTATTAGTCTGCAAATTAAATTCTGTTTTGGGAATGTCATTTTAATTGTAAGACTGTACTGTGCCTTTACTTTGGCACTGCAGCCTCCATCTTGAGTTGAAATGCCCGGGAGGTGTCAGGAGAAATCCTTGCATCTAGCAGTGGGCTAACAATGTAAAGCAATCCAGAATCCTTAACCTGGATAGTTTTCTATTCAGATGGAAGCATCCTAGAACAATGATCTGACTAAAGCCCAGGGGAACCAATTTTCCCAGTGTAGACTTCAGGTGGGTTGCAACTAAGCAATGAATCACCTGACGAGAGACTTGAAGGTGTTCAGGAGCGGTGGGATTAGAAAGGGAGGCTCTTGCTGGCTTTATAGAAGAGACCTAGAACAAGAAGGCAAAATTGACCAGGAGGAGGAGTGGAGAGTCCTGGGACCTTGAAAGGACTCACCAAAACTGAGTAGTGAGGACACTGGATGGCAGGATTTTGTGTGCTAGCAAAATTTTGTTAAATAATCTAAGTATGGACAGATCCTAACGTCATTAATGTCAATGGCAAAAATGGCCACTGATTCCAGTGGAACCAGGGTTTGGCACGAAGGCCTCAGTTCAGGAAAGCAAACTTTTTTCAGGAAAGCACTTAAGCATGAGGTAAAGGGGACTTAAACATATGCTTAAAATTTTTCCTGTGTAGCCTGAACAATTGTTACTTTTCCATAGATCTCTCCTGCTTTGTCTGTGAGTAAAAGTGTGTGTATGTTTAGAAATTCCTTTGCAGAGTCTGAGTGTCCTCTGCTTTCACTAATGCATAGTCCCCAAAGAGCGAAACAGTAAATCAGAGGGTTCACAGCTTCACTGGAACTCTGGAGAGTCCGTGGAGCAAGTGCTGGGAGGGCCAGCACTAGTTTCAGGTACAACACAGTTGGACCATGGAGTCTCATCTCTCAGGATGTGGTACTAGATAGACAGTCTGTACCCTGAGAGTGTTCCTAGAAGTCTAGAGCTTGAGACAGGGACGACCCAGCCAGCCTAAGAGCATGTGGGATCCAGTAGTTAGATCCAAACACAGCAACCTGGTGAGCATCCACCAGGGGGAGCTCAGGTAGGGTTGTTTATATTTAGACACTAGACCAGCAGTTCTCAAACTGTGGGTTGGGACCCCAGAGTGGGTCATGACCCCATTTTAATGGGGTCACCAGGGGTGGCATTAGACTTGCTGGGGTGGAAGCTGAAGCCTGAGCCCTACCCCCGAGGGCGGAAGCCAAAGCCCAAGGGTTTCAGCCCTAGGTGGTGGGGTTCAGGTTTCAGTCTTCCGCACCTGGGGCTGAAGCCCTTGGCTTTGGCTTTGTCCCCCCGCCCGAGGTGGTGGGGCTTGGGCTTTGGCGGGGCTCGGGCGGGCTCTGGTTTTGGTCCCCCCCTCCTGGGGTCGTGTAGTAATTTTTGTTGTCAGAAGGGGATCGCGGAGCAATGAAGTTTGAGAACCCCTGCTCTAGACTTTGTCCCCTACGCACCAGATACTGGGTGACACTCTCCTATCAGTAATCTCTGCTGTCAGGAAAGATAATTTAGTTTTTCCTCTGAAGGCAGGCTCTGGAACTCGATCTTTGGCATTCAACAAAGGTAGCTGCTAGTTTTATTCTTTCAGAGTCAGGAACAGTCCTGGCTGAAAAGGATCTTCTCTCCACCCTCAGACCAGGTTTTTTTTTTTTTAAAGTCAGAACCTCTTGAGGAACAGGTTCTGTTCAAGCTTAGGAGCAACAAGAGTCTAATGAACTTCAGCATCATGCTGACTGACCTGAATATGGCTCCCAAAGCTGCTCTGGACTAGCATTAGACCATGAGTCTGTTCAGAGCTGATCACATAGAGAAACTAGATTATGTGCTTTGTTTTGCCAAGATAAGGTTTGTAGTGTAATGCAAATGTGGGACAATGGAGGCAGACCCCTTTCTAGCCCAGCTTAAATGCCTTTATTACCCTCTTTACTTGTCAGACTCTAATTTAAAGACTAATTCTAAGAAGTTCATTTAGCTTAGCTATTTTCAGCCTATCATAAACTGGCTGAAGGTACATTGTTTTTTTTACAGCTCATTGTCATCAGCTTCATGTGGGGCTTGACAATTTTGAAATTCCATTTAATAAACCCTCTGTGTTACGAGATATTAATGTGTTCCTGACAAGGCTGACAAAAGTGCCTATTGGCTCACTTAATCACAAGTTTTGTATTGGGGGATCATTTCCTGATGAAGGGAACACCAGCTCATAGAGTGAGTGAGCTTCAGGTTTTAGTAACTAACCCATGTTACACCATATTTTACAAGGGCCAGGTTGTGTTATAAACTCATCAGTAGTTTCCATCCAAAGTGGTGGTAGAGTTTCTCATCCTTCCCATACCAGGAAGGCTCTTTGCATATAGCTGAAATTTAAAGGTCTTTGGGATTCTATTTGGAGCACACAAAAGACCTTAGAAAGACCACACTGATTCCTTGAGCGATGCTATATCTCCATGAAGACTCTGTCTGAAAGGTTATGTTGCTGTTTTTTTCACAGCTGTGACCTGGCTGACCTATCGTTAGGCTTGTGCTAGGTGAGGCAGAGCAACTTCCACTGCCTGCTTCAACGAGGTTTTCAGTCAGGATGTTAGGCAAGGCAGGTAGCCTCATGTCATACTCCCCAAAGTTTCAATGCTAACATATATTTTCTGAGGATGAGCTTCCCTTTGTTTCCCCATGCCAACAGAACTTGTTTCTGAAGTAGGGGAGCCCAAACTTGCATCACCTATTGGATTTTGGAGTTTGTTGTTTTGTCTTTTCAGGCTGTGTAAATGGGCACATTTTTTAGTTAAAAAGTAACAAAACATCCCCACTGAATCTCTCATTCTTTCCTCTTTACACCCCCCCCCCCCCCCCAAAAAAAAACAGAACAGCACCAAAGCCTTCCTGACCAGGTCTGACCCTAGACCAAATAGCACCCCAGGCAAGGAGCATCTTTGGTGGCCGTCTCCCCCCACATTTGTTAAACTTTTGAATACCTTATTTTTATTGCATTTGTAGCCCATTTTACGACTTGCATGCGTGATTTATCCCTATCATATAAGATGATAAATTTGCACGCTAGGATCTGTAAATCAGTATTTATTCATGCCATGTATAAGCAAATAAAAAAAATTGGTTTCATCTAAGCTTACAGAAACTTTTTAATTTTAAGAATAACTGAAATGTACTAACATCAAGAAACTGAACTGTGCACCAACATTGGGTGGACCAGTATTAAATAGTGTTAGAGTAGGTGTCAGCCTTAGAATGTTAACCCTAGTTCTTTAGTTCAAAGGGTCACTTTTCTCGCCTTTGCCCTTGTGAACTGAAGCACACCACCGGAGAGATCCAAAGGTTGACCAATGGCATTTTCAAGCGATAAAGCAACGTTAGTTTCTCGTCGGCCATCATCAATAAAAGATATGTTTTAATGAGCCTGAGCTTCAAAAACTTGCGCTCACCACTCGCGACCAGCAGCGTGAGCAGAATCCTCAACCTATCCACATGTTAGGAAAAGTGTTGCTAACAACAAAAACAGCACCTTGAGCCTGGCACCCCCCAAGCCCAGTACCCCAGGTGGTCACCTGCCCCTAAATCAGGCCCTGTTCCTGACACCATCTTGAGAAATCTCCTGGAGGTCAGTTACATTCAAAGAGTGAGAATCCTGCATAGATGGTGTCTTGAAAGAAGGGACAATTACTTACCTTGTAATTCTGTTTTTCTGAAAGATCATTTGCAGGATTGTGACTCACCCACCACCTAACCTCCAAGTCTGCTGTTGAAGAATAGGCAGTTGTAGGCTCAGGTTGCCATAGCAAGTGCTCATTTGTCCTTATTTTTTTCTGGAACAATCAACTCCTTTGTACTCATTTTAAATGAGATACAGATAATTTATTTTTGTATTTTATGCAATTAGAGATTAGGGAGCTTTTGATTCTTGGTCTTGGAAAGAACTGGTTGGAATTTTCTGGGGCCTCTTAGGTAGGTGCATGCTTATCCTGGTGCCACAGTGTCTCACCTTCCACTATTCCATTCCATTCATTCATACTGTCCCCACTATCTCAAATGATAGACCTCACCAGTTGAGGGTTAAGTGCTGCTCATCTCTATGAGAATATTGTAAGAGAAAATGGCTATAGCATGCAACACAATTTTTTTCTGAAGTACAGCAATAAATGTGTGGGCTTTTTCTAGCTGTTCACTCCGAGCATCAGGTAAATGTCACATAGTTGATAGGATTTAGATAGCTGGGTAAGGTTAGTAAGAGGGAAGGGGAGCTAACAAAAAAAAGAAACCATGATACTGCCTCCCAAGTGTTGAAAATCTGGTGTATTTTCAGTAGAGTGGGTCCATATTCTGTCCAGAACACCAGGGAGACAATCAAAAGAGAACACCTCATCCATCACTGGGAAAAATATCTGTTCTCAAGACACCCGCACTACAGTTAGTTTCCTGTCCCAACTTGCGAGTGGGTGGGACGGAAGTGAATAAAAGCAACCCCTTCTTTCCCTTAGGAGAAAGGATTGCATTTCTAGTATTCTGGCTCTGTGGGAAGTATTGTTTTCTTTACTGTTATTCCCAAAATACATTGGTATCATCAGAAGGACAGGGATGAGCCCTCTACATGAGTGAGACCTTCCATCTCTTGCTCATCCTAGATATAGGCTTGATTACTGCAGCTTTAATGCTGATTCCTAAAAAATTTAAGGATTGAATACTTTGATTATAGGTTAGGCTGCCAGTTTTACTGTCCATAAAGCACCTTTATATAAATCTTTGTTTCTCAGAATAATAGTTTTTAAATCCATTTTTCTAATAATTTATTGTTGACTGAGAAACCATTAGCGGTTTTATGGAATGTTGTTGATACTGGATACAGTCCATATTCATCAACATTGCTGTGACAAAATGGCTTGTGAAAAACATTTGAGATTCATGCAGATAATTGCCTTAATGAGACAAACCTCTCTTACTTTTGTTTACTAATTCTGTCCCATTGAATTCCATGCCTTCCTAACACTTCTACAGGATATAACACTAGCAATATTATACAGAGTGGCATGTGTCCTTGTACACTAGATAAATAATATATACCCAACAGACAAAAATTTCTCTAAAGGAGAGATTCAAAACCATTTAATATAGATTATATACTGATTATACATTATCTAGATGATATAGTTCTAGAAATACCACTTATATTTGACCGCAGTAGATGGTGTGTGTAATTTACGGGGGTTTTCTGTGCATTGAGCCTCTCTTCTGAAATGGCAGAACCAACACCGCTAGGAGTATTTTTCCCTTAGGCTTCAATTTACATTAATTAAGGCTATCTCTTAGAGCCTGTACATTTTATGTATCCTCCTCTTTATCCTCACCCCATAAAAAACTTATTGCTTAGACTTTTCATAAATATTTTATATGTTTATGCTTATAGTGAAAGACTAATACAGCCAGGTGCTGACAAGCTTCTGTACATAGTGCTACAGGGCATCTCATTTGTGACCTGCAGGTCTCTTTCTACTTTCTGGATAAGAGATTGCTAGCTGTGTTACACTGGCTGTATTATACTTGATACTGTTATAGACAGATCCCCAGAAGCAGTTAGAAAGAGACCACTAAACTCATTTTCCATAGGGCCAAAGAAGGATTGTAAAATGTAGTTTCAGGGATGAAAGGCTATCTAATCTAACAGACTATCATGGCATCAAAGCACTGGACACAAATTAAACTACAAAACTGAGTGTGGTTAAAAGGGCATAATTCTTAATCTCTCTTCTCATTGTATGTGTGATCCTTTTTGCCTTCTTTCTTGTTTTTTGTTTTCTCTTCCTGTTTTTAACTCAATTTCATAGTATATCTTTCTTTTTATATGTATTTCACTCTTCCCAATTGTGGCTATGTTTTGGGGAGAGACTGATGGGAAAGGTCTTATCCAAGAGCTGAGCCTTGCATTCATACCTGACGGTGGTCAGGATTAGGTTACTGTATTTAAATTCCATATCCTGTAAATTCTGACTTATACGTTAGTTTGCGTATGTGGTTTTACAGTTTTCTTAGTCCATAGCTACTCTTGGGTACTACAGACTATTGTCATATCTTTAACTGCTGATGTACTTGACGTTTTGGTTATTAAACCTTTTAATTCATGTTCTCTTTCCTCCCCACTTTCAGTCTTCGTGAACAGCAAGCTGATAATCAGGACTTCAATGACTCTTCAAAGCCAGAGAAGCTAGCATATGAGGACCTTGAAGAACATGATTCTTCTCTTAAATGTAAGCTTTAGTGTGTTTTTTTCAGACAGTTACTTAGTAAATTGAAAGAGTAGAAGTTCTTGTTTTTTTCCTTAAGGTTAACCATTCTTTTCAACCTAAAATTAGCAAAGGGTTAGCAGGGGGTGCCTGAGGGATCCATATTAGAAACAAATGTTGTTTAATACATTATGATGGAGAAGTTACAAGACCACAGTTTAGGTTATGTCAGAGATTTCAGTTTAAGCTTTTTAGATATTATTATTATTATTGTTAAAATATTATGCAAGTAGAACTGTGCAACCTTAACTACAGTGACACAATGTTTGTGTGTGGAGAAGAAGGTGAATATTGAGGTATCAGAATTTGCAGATAACACAGTTGTTTAGGTTAATAAAGACTGGAGAAAACTGTTATTAAAGCTGCATGATTGGGTAGCAAATTAAACTCACTGTTGACAAATAGAAAGAAATGGAGGGAGAAGGACCACCAGTTAAAGGTAGAATACTTCTCAAAGATATGGATGCAGAGATCAGCATTAGCTCCAGGTGTCACACTGTCTCAATTCATGCGCAAAGGTAACAGTTCCCTACTTGTTTTCCTAGGTATCAACACAGTATTAAACTCTAAATAAAACATCTCTAAGGTTGCTCTGTTTACAATGGCAGACATGCTGGCTATGTTCAGTGATGAGTTGATGAAGTGGGTGACTGTTCTGTGGATTTTCCCCTTAGTATTAGTTATTTTAGTCATCAGTTTTAATTCATTCCATTTAGTTTTCTTTTTACAATTTTTAAATACAGTAACTCCTGACTTAGTCGTCCCAGTTAATATTGTTTCATTGTTACACTGCTGATCAATTAGAGAACATGCTCGTTTAAAGTTGTGCAATGCTCCCTTATAACGTTGTTTGGCAGCTGCCTGCTTTGTCCACTGCTTGCAGAAAGAGTAGCCCATTGGAACTAGCTGGTGGGGGCTTGGAACCAGGGTGGACCGGCAGCCCTCATCAGCTCCTCTAAGTTACCTGTGCTGCAGCCACCCAGCAGGCTGTCAATTGCCGGGCAGTTCAGCTGTCCCTCCCCCCACTGCCATGTGCTGCTCCTGCCCTCTGCCTTGGAGCTGCTTCTGGGAACCTCCTGCTTGCTGTGCAGAGGGGGGGAAAGAGGGGTGCTAATGTCATGGTGTCCCCCTCCCCCTGCTCCTGCCCCCCGCTCCTGTACCTTATCTCCACAGAGCATGGGGGGGGGGACATGACAGGGCTCAGGATGGAGGGAGCTTGCTGGCAGCAGCTGCTGTCTCAACTTGCTGATCTACTTAAAAAGGCAATGTACTTAGAGTGGGGTCAGCATACTTAAAGGGACAATGCGCGTCTCTCTCTCTCTCTCACATACACGGTGTGTGTCTCTGTCTGCCATGCTGTTTCCCTTCCCTCCATTCGTGCTGCCTTGTAGAGTGTGAGGCTACATTAACAACAATGTGTTAACCTTGAGGGCTCAGCCGAGTGCTAGTTCAGCATTTAGCAGTAAGGCATTCCCTGGGAAATATCCCACCCTCTGATTCCACCACCTCAACCAAGCTTCACAATCATCATTGCTGTGTACAGTATTAAATTGTTTGTTTAAAACTTGTGTGTGTGTGTGTGTGTATATATATATACACATAAAAAAAAATAGTATTTTGTCTGGCGAAAAAAATTTCCCTGGAACCTAACCCCCCCCCCCCCATTTACATTAATTCTTACGGGGAAATTGGATTCACTTAACATCATTTCGCTTAAAGTAGGATTTTTCAGGAACATAACTATAACGTTAAGCGAGGAGTTACTGTAGATTATTTTACTGCAGCTTGCATTAGTTGAAATACTTCTACACTAGGTATTTCTGCTCATACAATTAGGATATGACATTTATTCATTTAAATTATTAAATTACTTAATTTTACAGTAGATACTTTTAGGAACTGATTCTAATTCACTTATTTTTTTTCCTTTATTTTACTGGATTTGAGAACAGACTGGGTGCTATGAGTAACTAGGAAAAGCAGGTGTCGTGCCTATATAGAATTAGCTAAATGCCTCATCATCCAATTAGTGATGCATATGAACAGAAGGGATAATTTAAGATATTTGTACCTAGAGCTGGGTTCTAAATTAACTGTACTGACACTCAGTGCTGTGTTGGGTGTACCAGTGAACACCTCCATTGGCATGTGAGTGGAAGAAAACCAGCGCTATCAGAAAGGAGGAAGGGAGCAGAAAGAGAAGAAACATGAAAAGCATATGCCCTGACCTGCCCTTGCATGGGCACACCCCTTGTTCATTATTGATTTCTCTGTGGCACTAGTACAGTCATTTTACCCCTGTAAACTTCCTCTCAGGACACTTGCCAATAAATATCAGGCAGTCCTGGCTGCTTTTCCTAACTTCGTTTTGAGGGCCCTGCAGATCTCTCCAAACTGACGACACCTCTGACTTCTGGGTTTGAAAAACCACTAAGCTTCTATTTAACCAGATTAAACGTAATAATAGTGTTCAGTAACCCTTGTACTTCTTACTCCATTAGGGCAGTGGTCCCCAAACTTTGGGGCGCATGCCCCTAGGGGAGCGCAGAGTTCAGGGGAACGTGGCAGGTGTTGGTCCAGCCCCCGTGGGGGATGTGGCGAGAACGCCACCCAGCCCTGCTCTGCCCCCAGCTCTGCTGCGCCTTAGGCCCGCTCCCAGCCGCACGTCCGTCTGCAGCTCCACTCCTGCTCCTGGACCCGGCTCCCAACCCTTGACCCCGACCGTGGCTCCTAACCATGTTCTGGCCCTGGCTCCAGTGTGTGTATGTGTGTGGACAGATTCAATTACAGTTAAGGGGGGTGGGGCGCGTATAAAAAGTTTGAGGACCACTGTACTAGGGAAAGACTAATCTTACAAGAGCCTGGCAGTGTTTCCCTTCCTGATCAAAATCTACCTTTGCATCCCCCTCTGTGATCCTGCTCCCTCTCTCCCAAAAAAACAACCTTTCGAATTAACACGTCCCCGCCTTCCCTCACCCCCCAATTCCAAACAAGCAATCTGGGAGGAGCTTCCACTAGGAGTCCAAACCTCTGTGCACCCAACAGCATGTGGTCTCTTTGTCCTGTAACATACCCCATCATGCAATTTTGCTTAACACTTATCTGATAACATCTCATATCATACAATTTCAAGTTAACCTCGTACCTTCTCCATAGCATATAAAAAGCAAAAAAGAATAAAAAAGGAAAAGGGGGAAATACAGAAAGTGGGGAACTAAATACTGAAGGATTAAGACAAAAGGAGAAGAGCAAAAATGGAGAGAGAAAAAGGAGGATGTAGCAACTATATCAGCACATGGTGCCAGGCGACATCAGGAGACAGGAAACACCCATCTGCCAGTCCATCCTAAAATGGGTTCCATCATTGATGTAGATAATTACCATGACAGCACAATTATTCCAAACTCATAGCAATAAAAACCTCTCTAGCACTCTCCACCCACTTGTAAGAATGAAGATACACACAGCGCAAGATAATTTTTTTTTATTTTCTAAATAGTGGTGTTGCTTTTTGGCTGCAAATAAAGATCATTCTTGCTGTACTAGTTAGTGTCTTAGTTTGGTGAATACATACTGTTGATGTTCTAGTTCTCTGTTTCTGTGTGGATGACTGATTTTTAGAAGCTGGATCCAAGATATAGTAACCGAAGAACGACATTGATACTTCTTGCAGTGTGTTTTATGATTATACAAATATATGAACTCTGATACATTTATATGCATAGTTTATATGTATATGGACATTTTAGACTTCGATTATTTAAAGACCTTTTCGTTAATACTGTTTTCTGCTCATAGAATATTAGAAATGGTTTTGCTATTTCGTCATTGCTTTTGCCAGTCTGCACACATGAAATTCTGCTGTTTCAAGCATGGGGTATACAAAACAACATATTGATGATGATTGTTGATAATGACTACAAAATAAGTAATATCTGTGTTTCGGTAGCCATATCTTTAGTATTAATCAAAGTTATCATTTAAAACTAATTTAAAAGAAAACCAAAAAAATAAAACAGTTGCTTTTGAGTATGTTAATCATATGATGGGTTATCTGATCTACATGAACAAGAATGAGATTTGTGCGTCATTATACACGAGGCTGGTGAATCAAGATTGGAAGTTTTTCTAAAGATATGCTTTAGGAATTATTTTGGGGGAAGTTCTAGGGCCTGTGTTATACAGGAGATTAGACTGGGTGGTCACAATGGTCCACTCTGGCCTCAGAATCTATGAATACCTATTACTAAGGTTGCCTGAGACTTCCCACTATAAGATCTTGTTTTCAGTTGCTTATAACTTTGCTAAACTGTAACTATTTTGGAAGGAATTTTCCGTGCGAGATGTGTGCTTCAGGAGGAAAAGTTTTTGGAAAATTGTCCCCTTGTGTGTATGCATTATGAGACAGTCTTTAATTATGTAATTACATTCTATTTTTTCCACAAGATGCCTGTCTCATTCAGTGCACCAGATAGATCTGCTCTGTGGATAGATCAAGGTTGTGTAGCAAAGAAGACTGTTGTGTGTCGGACCTCTGCCTCATTTGTTGCAGTAGTTGGAAGGTATGTAGTGAATGAGGCAGGTGATTGTAGGAAAAGAAAAGAAGGTCATGTGATTAAGGCAGTTGAATTCCAGAGTTCCTATGTGATACTGACAAATAAGAGAGCAAGTCACTTAAGTGACTCCCTGTCAAAAGTTTGGTTTATGTTCATCTTTTTCTGGCTACCTTACTTGAGACATTTGGATCTGACTTGCAGAAGTGCTGAACACACATTTGCAACTGAAGTCAATGAGAGCTGTGCTTGGAACATATAAAAAGCGATATAATGCTAAGTTCCATGAAAATCTAATGACCTAGGTGTCTCAAATTGGGCACCCAAAATTAGTGGATACTTCTGACTTTAATCTGTCTGTGCCTCAGTTTCCCATCTGTAAAATGGGGATAGCACCCCTTTACCTGACAATGGTCTTGTGAAAATGAATTCATTATTATTTGTGAAACATTCAGATACTATAGGAATGAGCACCATTGAGAAGCCAATGAGGAAATAAATACTTCTGTCTTCAGAGCAGGGTTTGAGTAGTGTGTAGTAAATAAGGCCTGGGGCCATACATTGAACAGTGAGGAGAAAACAACATATTGAATAGTTGCTCATTAAGTGAACACCATTCATCCTGAATGAGGTGGGTCTTGTGGACAAAATAGTATGTGATCGTGTAATTAAAGACTATCTCATAATGCATTACACACAAGTGTGACTAATTAAGGTTGAACAGGCATTCTGGCATTTCCTAACTTCTGAGTGCTTTTAATGTTGTTTTTTGTGAGCGGGGTGTGTGTGTGTGTGTGTGTATAGAGAGAGAGTATGTGAAGGAAACCACTTGTTTTTTTTACAGTTTGTGGCTATATTTATTTATGGATCAAATAAGATTTTAAAAAATCTTTTATCTCACAAGTATACATTGATTTCAGTTGTGCCAGTAGCTTTAGTAAACACGTGTTACAACTAGTTTTCAAAGCCAAACAATGCCATGATTATAATTAAAGTAGCAAATGCAGCCTACTTGATAGTTCTTAATTTTCAGTTAAATGGTTGAGTTTGGAGGGGAGAGTGCTTAATTAATGGCTTAAATTTATGTATTCTCACTCCAGCCATTCCCACACTTTGTGTCCATTCCTTTGCCCCACTATTATAATTACAGAATAATGAGGCCATTGTTCAAACTTCTTCTCCAGATCAAGGGGACATTCCAGAGCAGCTCGAAAGTGATGTGTCACATCCATCTGGGGACAGCGTCAATGGGAGCAATGTCACAAACGCTATGCCAGCAACAGCCACTTCACAGCAGGATTTAAGTGAGTTTTCAGCTCAGAAACAAATGTGAATACCCTTTTTAGATGGCAAATGCATTAAAACAAAAAGCAAACAAAAATTAGCATTTTGTAGTTTCCTGTATTGAAGTGGTTGAAAACTTTTCTCAAAGCTAGTGTTTAGGTACTAAAGAAGAAGGAATACATCTTTGTTTGTTAATTCTTGACTTACTGTAGAATGATGATTTTCACCAGTACTTCTGTTAACTTTGTTTTAATTTAATCTTTTAAGCTTGCTTTTTGGCTTCTGAAGAGACTTCATTTTTTTTGGCCTCAGTATTAATTTCATGATCTTTGCTTCTTTAGGGAGAAGCTTTCTTCAGCGTTTCCCTTAATGTGTGTTTGCATTTGCTGATTGTCTTGCATACCAATTCGCTGAGTATATAATCACTATTGTAAAGGGTGTCAATATAAAACCCTCAGAGATAGATAGACAAAGATGATTTAAATGCAGCATGCTTAATTTCTCCAATGCTTCAGTACAGCTATATATAATGGTCTGGAACAGCTTGCTTGGTATGAGTCTTACCCAAAGGTGTTGCTGTGGGCAGAAGGCTTTCTAGCTTCAAATAGCTTCTGGTATTTTGTGCATGTAACAAATTATTACTTTATAGAAATAAATGGTCTTAGCATTTAAACTCCACAGATTTAACTAGATTTATGTGCTGTGATAGTTTTTCCTAAATAACTGTTTTATAATACTTTGTATTTTTGTAACCTCTTGTATCCACTTTACAAATACTAAAGAATTAAACCTTGCAGCATCCTTATGAGGAAGACAAGTAGTATCATCTCCATTTTACAGATCAGGAAATTGAGGCACAGAGAGGCTCAGGTTAACATTTTCCTACTTAGAACCGAAACTAGGGCATCTCTAAATCTATATTGACCTCAGTGGGAGCTGTGTGTGTTTACCACTTCTAAGTCAGGCCACTTATTTAGAAGCCTACTGTAAATATGGATTTCATCTACTTTAGGTTAGGCATCCAGATTTGAAAAACTTGGCTTAAATAACTTGCCCAAGGTCACTCTGGAAGTTTGTGGCACAGGTGGGAATTATGCACAGGTCTCCTGACTCCCTCTCCTCTGCTTTTATCATAAAACTGTCCTATCTCTTCGGCTTCAGTCTTAGTTTCACTGTGTAACCAGTAAGATAAGAAGACCTACTAATTGAAAACAAATTGCCTGCTAAATTAGCTCAAATTAACAATATGGTACATGTGTAAACTACACATCCAGGTTTTTTAGGTTTATTATAGGTGCCACACAGAAACGGTTACATAATCAATTTGCTGCTTAATTGTTTGTCTGTTTTCCGTCTTTCCCAACTGGGACTACCAATTCACTCACTGTATTACCAAGCTGCATGTCATGCTTTATTTCAATAGCCACCACTTGCAAATCTTAATTACAGCACTGTGTATGTCAAATGGCACAGAAATAATTTTGTCTCAGCAGTGGTTGATCAAAGCCAGTCTGAAGAACAGAAAAGAGAAGAGAATGAGAAAAAATGGGAAGAAGAAAGGAGAGAAAGAGAAGAAAGAAGGCAAAGAGAAAGGCAGGAAGCACTGGAAAGGGAGGAAAGAGAACTAGAAAAACTGAATGAAGAAATGGTGATGTAATATTTTAATTTCTGACAGGAATGCAACTTTGTTATACCATATAATTTGAACTAAATAAACCACATAGCAATCCTAGATGACTTCCTACATTGTTTTTTCTATGTGAATTTAACATAGAATAGTTTATCTTGGATTTACTCTCATTTCTGTAGCTACATAATAACTAAACTTTATTGTTTCCAAAATTTCCCCCCAGATTAAAAGCTTGCTGTCCAGTAATTCATGTTAATATGTGATACTATTGTGTGGCATTGGTTTCAACATGGACAGGGTTTGGTTTATTCTAAGCCAAAGCTAGAGACTGTTTTCTAAATTGGCTCCCAGATTGGAACAAACTGAATGAAAAAATAATGTGATACCTAATACCCAGTCTCTCAGTCTCTACTTAAGTAAAACTCCCGTTGACTACAATGGGACTTTGCCTGAGCAAGGACTGCATGATCTGGCCCATCCCAAAAGTGTGAGTGAATATGGTACATGTCACATTAAACACTCCATTCAGACTGGAGCACAGATTACTAGATTAGACTAGCAATGTACAGAACTTCATATATAAACATATTGAGTTAAAACCTGATTGAAATATTTTTGAACTGGCTGGTCAGTTTTAAGTGTATTGCTTTGTTGTGTTTTTTAGAAGTTGATCCAAGATTCGTTGAAAAGTGAAGAAGAAACAAAAAAGACAGACCGTGAAGTGGAAGACTCAGAAATCAGTAATCCTGACGCTAAAGACAATTTGTGTGACCCTCATCCTAATCCACTAGAAAAATACATGAAACTGATACAGCAGAGCAGAGAGCAGGAGCTGACAAACAAGGTGATATACCAAAACCTGTAGGCAGTAAAAGGGTGATTTCAAAGTGTGACTCTAGAGGACAATGTTTTGTCTGAATTACAATGTATCCATAGATCATGAGGTGGAGAATACTGTCAGCTCAATTTGGTCTTCTTCATTTTCAGTGTGAAAGTTAGAGTAACAAATTGTGAGAAGAGGAGCAGGTTTGTAATATAGTTGGTCTGTTCACTGTTGGAGATCTGTCTTCCCAAGGAGTTTTGCCTAGGTCATGTGGGAACGGCAAGATTACGTTTCTTATATAAGGCTGTGCCCAGCTATATTGCATCATGTCAAACAGTAACACAGAACAATAGAATATGTGTATTTAATGTAGTTAGAAATTAATGGTTTCAAAATGTTGTATGTAAACAGGATAGTTAAAACTGAGGGCCTAATTTTTAAAGGGACCTCCTCTTGCACGTTCACTAGTCAGTATGCATAATGTACATAACACACACGATAGAATTTATACTTCCAAAACCCATTTCTGCAGAAATTGGGTTTGCCTCTGTCACTGCTATCATTTATACATGTAAATGAGAGTGCACAAAAATTGCAGGTGTGAAATAGCTTCCAGATGAATGGATGTCAAAAATTAAACATTTAGCCCTGAGAGAACAAGTAACTATGTGATTGAAAAAAAATTCCATTGAAGCATTCCAGTGAGTGGATTGTCATCAAAAATGGAATTTCTTGTGTAATAAAATTATTTTATAAGTTTCTGTTCAGAAGTGGTTCACATTTTGTATCCCCAAACATCATTACTTTTGGGATGTAATACCATATTGCTGGCAATGTGCTTGCTCTTCTATAAGACATTATTTAAAAAGTCATGGTGTGCATAAAACTACATAGATTGATAAGCTATTGTTGTCAACAAATGCTATGTGCTTAAGCTCTCTGTAAGATCATATGCTACAATAGTACTATGATGTTTGTAAAGTTAGGCCAAAGAACCAAATTTAATGCTTTTCTCTTGTCTGCCAGAGCTCCAAAAAAGAGGAAGCGGAAGAAGTATCACTGATAGAGAAACTTCTGTCTAGTGAAAAAGATGACAGGTCAGGCTGGATACAATTATTATTTAAAGCTGAGGTATTATTAATTGCTAAGGAGTCACAGAAATGGTATTTCAGTTACTTGAAAATGTGACTCATTTTATTAATGTGATAGTTGTGGTTTGATTTATAGTCAACATGTCTGCCTTTTAAAATGAAATTCATACATAACTTTCAGACAAACCTTTCTCCTAAACAAGTAGATCAGAAGCAATACGCTGAAGTTAGGTATCCTTTTAAGTAAAGAAGACTAGTTTTTTCTTTAATTTTCCTTAGAAAAATGCAGCCCTCTTCTCTTGGGTGAAGAAATTATTACAGCATGTGTAAACACCCTCATTTACAATGATGTTAAGCAACTACATTCAAGGGAGATAGGTCAACAGCCCTGCTGATTAGCCCTTCATTGATGGGACAGCAGCAGCACAACCTCCACATTGCCCAGAGCTTGAGAGAATTCCTGTGTGTTAATGACACTCTTATTGCCTAACATCTCTGCAAGGCCAACAAATGAGTGCCAAATTGGCAGAATAGGTTTGGTTATGTATATATTTGCTCATTCTGGCACTGGATTGTGATTAACAATTTATTTCAGGTAGACCAGGAAAGAGTTGTTGGAGAATAAAAACTCACTTGCGTCAGCTCTGAGCCAATGATGTAAAAGATTCCTTATCCCATTACACAGGTCCCTAAGCCATCCCACAAAGCCCATTTTTTCATTCCATCTATTAGATCTGTGGGTTTTATTTTTTTATTTTTTTAAATTGCAAATAGAAGTGGTGCAATGTTATGCTCGAGTGGATTGGCTTGTCTGAATTTTTACATAAAGAGCTAATTGTTTAAGTAAATCTTGAACTATCCCTGCTTCCCAATGATTGGTTGTTATATTCTTAGCTAAAACTAGAGGGTATTTTAATGCTTTTCCTGCTAATGCTTCTGCGCTTCACCTATGATGATGGTCTTTCCATTGAAATCATTGGAAGTTAGAGTAACCCTGGTACAGACAAAAAACAGCAGATGTAGCTGGAGTGTTTCAGTAGAAGTTTGAATGGTTTAATAAGATACATTTACTCAAGTAGATAAACATTTATTGCATAATTTAAATTTGTAAGTTGTAACTAAAGTGTGTCTTCCTTACTGTGCCTGTGTTTACACTACAAGGTAGTGGTGTGACTTCCCCTGCTTGTGCTAGCTCTCTTCGGCAGCGGAGGCACAGCTGAGCCATACCCCATAGAAACCCATCTGAAACCGGTGGGTAAATACCCTGCCCTGCCCAGCCCAACCTCCGGTGCCACTACCCAGGCTTCTGCAGCTACACTATTTATACTCGTATTGGTCAATGAGAGCTAGTGCAAGCATGTGTAGACTAGCAAAGGTAATTACATCTCTAGCGCATAGCGTAGGCAGTTTATATTTCTCCCCTCTCACATGCTGAACACTGTGTTACGTAAGGTTGTGCATGAATGGTGACAATAAGGGATTCCCATCTAACAAAAACAGTGTATTATCTATCTGCATTTGGGTAGTGATCAATGGCTCCGTGTCTAGTTGGCAGCTGGTATCAAGCGGAGTGCCCCAAGGGTCAGTCCCGGGGCTGGTTTTATTCAATGTCTTCATTAATGATCTGGAGGATGGCATGAATTGCACCCTCAGCAAGTTTGCAAATGACACTAAACTGGGAGGAGTGGTAGATACATTGGAGGGTAGGGATAAGATACAGAGGGACCTAGACAAATTAGAGGATTGGGCCAAAAGAAATCTGATGAGGTTCAACAAGGACAAGTGCAGAGTCCTGCACTTAGGACGGAAGAATCCCATGCTCTGCTACAGACGAGGGACTGAATGGGTTAGGCAGCAGTTCTGCAGAAAAGGACCTAGGAATTACAGTGGACGAGAAGCTGGATATGAGTCGACAGTGTGCCCTTGTTGCCAAGAAGGCTAACGGCATTTTGGGCTATATAAGTAGGGGCATTGCCAGCAGATCGAAGGACATGATCATTCCCCTCTATTCGACATTGGCGAGGCCTCATCTGGAGTACTGTGTCCAGTTTTGGGCCCCACACTACAGTAAGGATGTGGAAAAATTGGAAAGAGTCCAGTGGAGGGCTTCAAAAATGATTAGGGGGCTGGAGCACATGACTTATGAGGAGACGCTGAAGGAACTGAGATCGGTTAGACTGCAGAAGAGAAGAATGAGGGGGGATTTGATAGCTGCTTTCAACTACCTGAAAGGGGGTTCCAAAGAGGATGGATCTAGACTGTTCTCAATGGTAGCAGGTGACAGAACAAGGAGTAATGGTCTGAAGTTGCAGTGCATGAGGTTTAGGTTGGATATTAGGGAAAACTTTTTCACTAGGAGGGTGGTGAAGCACTGGAATGCGTTACCTAGGGAGGTGGTGGAATCTCCTTCCTCAGAGGTTTTTAAGGTCAGGCTTGACAAAGCCCTGGCTGGGATGATTTAGTTTGGGATAGGTCCTGCTTTGAGCAGGGGGTTGGACTTCCAACCCTGCTATTCTATGATTCACAAATAGGTACCCTCTTATTTTTTGATAGGATGATTTCATTGTGTCAGAAGCTTATGCTCAGACACTGGTATTAATTTTCAAGAATCCACTTGCTGCCTGGGACTATTGACTATGTCACTGTAATTTGAAAGGCTAATTTGTAAAGCCAGAGGTAGGAGGTTTAGTGACCAGACAGTAAATGTGAAAAATCAGGATGAGGGTGGGGGGTAATAGGGGCCTATATAAGAAAAAGATCCAAAAATTGGGACTGTTCCTATAAAATCGGGACATCTGGTTACCCTAAGGAGGTTGTCCCTTCTTAAATCTCAGGCAACTGGAACTTTCTAGTAGGAAGGGAAGATATTTAGAAGTATGAGTAAATTTCAGGTAGAAGACTGCTTCAGAACCAATTCATAATTCCTTTCCCCTTCCATCCCACATTTAGTGCTGCAGGCGTCTCTCATGGAGAACCGGATGAAGACTTCTGGTGAATAGCAGCTACTATCTCCTAATGACCAGCACAATGGAGGATGGTGTGAAGTTATGTAAACAGTCACTACACCACAAGAACTGAATATTTTCATGCACAATGGTTTCAGCTGGGGATCAGAATTAAAGTTTAACATGTTCATATTAAAAAAATTAGAAGCCTTTTACAAAGACATTATCCCAAATGAGTAATTTTAGATGAATCTACTATGGACTGGTAGTACTAATAGCTGCTAAAATCATAAGCACACGGCCTAACCTTTGTGTTTTAAGCTTTCCCATATCTTTACAAAATATTCTAGGAGTCACTGCAGCCTGTTGATCAGAAAGTGTTTGTTTTCGTACTCATGAAAAAGCTGTGACTGAAAAGCAAAGGTGCCTATTCTATTAGGATGTAAAGCAGTTCAACATTTTTTCAGGTAAATTAGGTGGCTTTTAAAAAATACCATCCTGCCTTAAGAGAAGAGTTTTAAAGACTAAATGATAAAAATGAAAATTCAAAGTAAGTAGATTTGAAAGTGAGTTGTCTTTTCCAGCATGCTTATATTGCTGGTTTCACAAATGGCATGTCAAGAAGACTATCTGCAACACAAGGGCTCAGATATGTCAATTATGATTAAAATTTTTAATGCGTTCTGATAGATACCTGATAACTATTTCTTTGAGACCACCTTTAGATTAGTGTAGTTTTTCACTGGAGATAACTTGTTTAAGTACTTTTCTAAAGCAGCAGCAAGACAGGGGAAGAAAAATACACTTTTTAAAAGGTGAGCTTCATGCTGTTTCACTGCTGGTATCTTAAATATTCCATAAGAGAGGGTACAAGCACAACTGTCTTAATCTTCTACATTTTTTTAGGTTTGCATTTTATAGACTGTGCTGGTATTTTTTAATAAAATATGTCACCTGTACTCTGACACGTTCTCATTATTGAGGTACAGAATTTCTAATTAGTAATAAATGTAATATGGAAGTACTATTTGGTTTGTGGGTAAATATTTTAAAGCAGCAATATGTACTACTCCAGAGGTTCTCAAACTAGGGAGCAGGGAATGTATTCTGGGGGAGAAAGAATGAGATTTTGGGGGGGGGGGACCCCTTTCGTTGCACATTTTACCACCAGCAATAAATAACTAGCAAAGCTGACTTCTCCAGATCGATCAGGTCCTCAGTTAGTGCTGTGCATTTCTGTTCAGATGGCAACAACTGTGTATAAACTTTACATAAATGCACACACCACATCATAGCAAATGGATTAAATTATAAGCATGGACCACAATCACAGTTTTGCTTTTGCTCTTATTACAATGGCTTGTTGGCTCACTCCTGCAACAGAAACATAATACTTCAAGTGAAGAAAAAGAAGCTGAAACTGACTGAAGTGAAGCACTGCCGCTGCATCGATCCGTATATGTACTTGTGTGGCAGGAGGTGTAAACTACTACAGCCACAAAGAAAGGGGGCATAATCAAATAAGTTTGAGAACCACTGTACTATACAGTAGGTATAGTGAAGGTGCAACTAGTAGTGTACTTGATTTGGGCCATGGTTACTGATAACGTGTAACAAGGAGAAAACCCTAGCTTGACTCTCAGGTGGTTGCAGGGTTAGCAATCTCTTTCTGTAAAACTGAGTGCATGAGATGTGTAATAATTAACATTGACTGATTCTTCATTCAGCCACAGTCACTATTGGGAAGTCAAGTTGGCCATACTTAAAAGTTTGTATCCCTTTAAAAAAAGCAAATTGAAGGAAAGAAATGTCATTTCTCTGCTTTAACTAACTTTTTTTAGTAAATTAATATTTAGCTCAAGAGGATATTTACAGGTAACTTCACAGCAGAGCCCAGTGATTTGGGATAGCAGCTGAGCATTGAGAGGTAGGGACATTTCCAATTTTGTATAACGCTCGAGAACCAAATATGAAGACAAATAATTACATCATGCACATGGTCTTCTGTCCTATATGTTTACTGCCCAGGGTATTAGTTTGATTTTAAGAACTTATGAAAAGCACTTTGGTGCATGATGCGACTTTAATTTGTTCTTTAAAATGCTGTAGCAGTTGTGGGCTATTATCACACTGGAAACATCTACAGCCTGTGGCATGCCACCTAGAAGCAAAGTCCTGGTAGCATTTCTCCCCAATCTGGTGATATATTCAATAAATATTGAATTATTTTACTCAGGATGAACTTATCAGAGATAAATTCAAAAGTTGTAAGATGTAGAATTCATCCAAATAAAGTAACTTTCTCATTGTTTGTACAGCTATAACTGTCTAAAAAGAGTCTTAAAATAAGTATAGACAAATGGTGTGTCTATTATCTACAAATATTTATTGTAACACTTGGATATAGCTACAGGAAGCCCTTGGCACTGATAGAAAATATTGATTCACTGTTAGGTTACAAAAATTTATACATAGCAAAATTTAATGCTCTTTACATAAAAATATTAGACTACTTAAACAAAACTTCAGAAAACTCCCAGTAATAGCTACATCGAACTAGAAAAGAATTAGGATTTAAGACACTGCCTCCATTACCCTTATGCAAACACTGGGCTAGAACATCACCTGCATTGCTGTAGAAATGTTTCTCTTTCATGCAACAGGTAAAACAAACACTAGGCTACACTGTCATCTGCTCTACATACACTTTTTGCCCCCTTTTTAAAAACTGTCAAATTAGGCTTTTAGGCATTTAACCAAAAAATTCAACTGTAAGGTAATACTTGAAAAATGTCTGTCCACATCTTAATATTGACTTAACTAAAGAAATTTGTGCTTCCTTTTTATTTTAATATTCAGCCAACAGTCAAAACTAATCAAACCACACATTAACTTAACATGGGAATATAACTTGACTTTACCATTTAATTTTTTTTCAAATGACTGATACTTGATTACCCCCCCATACTTATATATATTTTGTAAAGAACAAACACCAACTATACCCATCACTAATACTCAAGATATCACTGAATATTTCTGAAAAAAACAAAATGAAGGCAGACTGCTGTGGGAAATGACTTTAACACGGCACCAGATTTTTTGCTGAACACCACACTTGCTTTTTGTGATTTATAAAGAGAAAATGAATAAGCACTGGCTATAAACTTAAGCACCGAAGTAGAGAAAGGTGGCTGACCAGTGGTCTGCTTTATGGCTGTATTTTTTTTATAGCTTATGTGAAACTCTGCAAATTCACTAGTCTGCTCATTTGGAATAGTCAAATCAGTTTCATTTTAATAAGGTAACACCTTTTGCTTAATAATACAGATAATGGTCTCCTGCTACTATATAAATGCTAAGACATTTATAGAAAATAAATATTAAGGCAAAGCTGACATTTATTTTCAAAGAAGGGGATCATTATCCTGACAGGCATCTACATTCCATCAATTAATAAAAATAATTAAAACTTGGAGCAGCTGAGCAATTACTCAGCACCCAGCTTACGCAGATAGTAAGTGCAGTAGAGTGACAGTGGCTCACTATAGCATTATTGAAAAAGATGTGGCTCTGAAAATGGACTTCTGGTCTTCAGCCCATAAAAAAGGTGGTTTTAGTTAGACACTTGCCCTTTTATGAATCAGCTGGTTTATTACATGCTGAGATTGTATCAGTAAATAAACATGAGCTATGAGAAATCTGATGAGCTAGCCACAGTTTCATTTGGTATAGAACTGGGATAATTGTTTTATCACATCTCATAACTGTGCAATTATTTATGGCCATAAATCTCCTGCTACTTGCTGTTTTGGGTCACCCACTACAATTTTGTGGATGAGCTTTAGGCCACAAGAATAAATACCAAGAGTCTCAAAAGGATGACTGACTGGTCACTTGTTACAAAGTGTTGCCTTTTAAAATGGCTGGACCTGAAACCTCTTAAATCTGTACTAAAGAAAGGAAGGTTACCCACTGGAAGGTTTCCCTTTGAACATGTTCCAGGAGCTTGAATGTGAAGTTTTTACACTTCTGTATTAGATTGTTTGGTAGACATACATCTGTACTGCAGAGCAGCTGTTTGACGATTTGTCAGAACTACACAATTCTTCTGTTGAATTACTCTGGCAAACTTTTATGTGTAAGAATTGAGTTGCTCTTTTGACCGAGACTGGATATCTTGAAGCTCCTGCTCTTCTTTTGCTTTGATATCTTGGTAAGCTTGCATTTTGCTTGCATCCTTTAAGTAGGCCCAGTTAGAAGACAGTATCATGAGGAAGTGGATCTGGAAGAGAAGGGTGAGCATGATGGCTAGTGAGCATGTCAAGAGGCAAAGCGAGCTGCTAGTCAGATTAAGACGTTCATTAAACAAAAGTTATTCTACATTAATAAGCATTCTGCTATTAAACAGCACAGAGGCTCATTTCAATTGACTTCTAGAATTTTGCATGCTTATCTTCTAGTTTGCTTATTAAAAACTAGCTAGAGTGTGTTAGTATGCAGAAGTAGTAAAAATGAGCTAAAGAGTTTTACTGATCTGTTAAAATGCAACACAGGAAAAAAGGAAGCAAAAATATAAGCAGCTTTTTGCATTTGGCAAATATATACTCTGAAGCTTAGAGTTGATAACTGATGCTTAAGTTTGTGGTGTTTTTCTTTAAACACATGTAGTGCAAAGATTCTGGTGAGATTTCCCTCCCGTCCCATTCAACCCCCCCCAAAGAAGCCTAAAATTGTAAACATTGTTTACTATGAATAATAAAAAGCTACATTTTAACATGGGGAAATTAAATAAGGAAATGTGAGTCCGAAACTATAAGTAAAAACATGCAGGCTGAGTTAACAAATCTGAGTGGTGGGAGTTTAAAAAAAAAAAAAAAAAAAAAAAAAGTTATAAAAATGCCATTTTCTACTTTCAGGTAAAGTTTGAGCATATATAGAAATTGTTTCAGTTTGCACAGTAAAAATCTCTTGCCATCTTCTTTTCACCAAATTTCATGCAAGAAAAATCTACATCTGAAAACACCTTGATTCTTTTGTGCCTTTTCAACAGTGTTGGTCTATGCACAGTTTCACTTCCCATACAGTCAAACTTATATTTTGAGATCTGGCTACTGAGAAATCAGTTACTACTTCATAAACAGTACCAGCACAAAAGTTACCTAAATGCTGTTTCTTACAGTCAGTTTGGGGTCCAAAAAGGAAAGTGATTGTTTTACGCAGCGCTATAGAATGGTATTTTCTTTTTCCAGAGAAAGCATGATTTGGCAGTTACTTGAAAATTTAGTATTGAAGTTTCAATTCTTGTAGAGTTTCCTGAAGCCTCACTAATAGGCTGTACCTTGTGACTGTCATCCATACATTGGAAATACTGGCAAATGTATAGGGAGCCTTTTAAAAAAAAATACATTTGTAAACACATGGTACTGTATGTCAGTCAAACAGCTATGTACTGGCACTATTCTAATCAACCTGGTCCCTTGTACACCATCTATAATGTATGCTTTATTCTTACTATTGAAACTAGTGCACAAGAGAGAGAAAAATAATAATCACTGCCATTTAAAAATTTGTTTGAGAGATAACTGTTAGGATGTCTTTCATTTAATAACTCCTGTCTTCAGAGAATGATTTGCAACAACTAAAGTAACTGAATCCTCTCAACGTTTAGAAAATAGCCAGATCTCATCCACATCAAAATTCATATACAATAAGTCATTTTATTAATCTGATATGCTAAACGATGCTTACTGAAGCTATTTACAAATTACTGTAACAAAATTGAAAAGCTAGACTCTTAGTCTAGAGTGTCAGTGGTATTTCAGGCTACACATGCAGCTCTTTACTGGGCTTATGCAATTTAGAATTTAGTGCAGCAATCTTCCCGACTCTTAAACTTCAAAACAGCATAGTTATATGTGGTAGCCATCATGTAGATCAGCTGGTGGAAAAGAACAAAATACAGGAGAGTAAGATACAATAAGCTGACGGCTCAAGCCCTCTTCAAGCAATTTTTCGATCAATTCTATGACAGACATAACTGTCTCAGATGATGATTCAAGACTTGTACTAAGCAAATATTTTGCTACTCTGTTTTAGATACATTCTACAGTCTGGCCTGGGGCAGCTACAGTGGAAGAATAGTGAATATCACCCCTGAATTTGGCTAATGCGATGTTAAAAGTTGATCGTTCCAATAGTCCCTTACTGTAAGAAAAAAAGTGAAACATGCCATCTTGTTAGTAGCTACGTTTCCACTTGCTGCCTAAGTAGCTTTTGTAGGCCCAGTACCAGTGACCTGACCCCAAGTGTCCTAGGTTCAGACAAGCAGAGTAACAGGTTTACATACTACCCTTCACTGCGAAACAAAAAAAAGGGAGAGAAATGACTCAAGTTTAAGAATCCGAGAAGCAGGATATTTCAGAAGAAAAGAGGAGTCAAGAAGTTTGGTTATTTCTAAAGAATAAAAAACCTAACTTCTTATGGCCAGAATTTGGGATTTTTCTGGCTTGAAATTACCAGAGTTGGGCCTTGCCCCATCCGGAGTCAAACTGGAATTGCAAACTACAAACAGAGTAATTTATCAAATGCTATTAAAAGAGTTGCAATAAGCAAAGTTCTATTCAAAATATTATCCCCTCAAAGTTTGCTTGCCTTTATGATGGATGTTCTAATTTAAGAAAGCTACATTGTGGTGCAATGCACCTAAATAATGGTGACTATTCTACAAGCTTAAGTGCAACAGGTCACTCTGTTTTCTTTGAGGTATCTCTGTTTTCAAGGTGTTTAATATCTTATTAAAAGCTGAAAGGAGTGTGTTAAGTTTCATTAGAAATATGGAGGATGTTACCCACCAGGGCTATGACAGTGGCACCAGCTCCAGCACAGGCCACGATGAACAGGTGATAGGACATGTAGAACTAGAAAAGAAGAGATTAAAACAAATATTTTAATGATTAGAGGAAAATACAATTGAATCTGTTAGAGTTCTGCATTGAAATGGCAAACACGGCCAATTCTTAAAAAAAATTTTTTTTCTCTATTGCTCTATTTATATTACTGGTTATTTACAGAACAGGTAGCCCAGAAGACTTTTAAAAAAATTGGTTAGAGAACAGTTTTTTTTCTGGCTTTGGATGGCAGGAAGAAAGATGTTAACAATATTGATATTTGCCACTGTTGCATAGATGGTGGTTTTGGCATGTTAGTAGAGGCTTCTGAAAAACACATTTATCTTCCAATATGACTTTCTTTGGCTTCTGCAATAGCCCTGTAATTTGTTATTGTACCTCATTTGTGTTGCAGATGTTCTCTAAAATTGGACCACAAGCCCTGCCTGGTACAGCATTCCAAGGGATGATACCTGAAATGACAACGCCAGAGCAAAATGTACAGTTAGTTCTAAACAGCCAACGCATAACCTTCCATTCCTCTCAAATCTTATTCCTCCCCACCCACATGCCAGTTGTGTTCCCTTATGATGCACCCACACATTGACCAGTACAGCTTTGAGTTGGCAGGAGAAACTACAAAGAAATCGCTCAGATTGTGCATTCTCCATACACCAAGACTAGCTGCTGCTTGCCAAATGTTCTCAGATGTAGGTTTCCCATATGGCAGCCAAATGGTGATTTTACTCACTGTTGGCCTATCATATGTGAGCACGCCCAACTCCCCCGATTACGAGGGGCAATTTGCCTCTCAAAAGGTACGTGGCACCTTTCAGAATTGGGCTCAATACTGAAGTCCTTACTAGGCCAAAACACCACTTGAGTAAGGTTTCATTATTTTGGTGTAGTTGGTGGTAGGGAAGAATTACAAAAACACAGTATTTCCTGTTTCATTTCCAATGGGTAGAAAACATTTTAGGTGAACCCTGGTACGTATAAATCCAATACTTGCAGACCCCTTTCACCCCCATAATGAACAAGATGCTTATTTACTGACCTTATTGGTTTTTAAAGTAAATGAGATCTGGAAGATTCTAAATGTTTAAACTTTTAGGCCCATAACAGATGTAAATCTTAAATACAGGTAAATATCTTTCATTTAAAATATACTGCAAGCATGTTTTTCAATTCATTTTGTAGGCCTGGCCATGTTAGTTTTAATCTGCAGCTGATCACTTTAAAATATATTATTGTCTGTCTTCACAATACAATTTAAAGAAGAGTTTTCAACACTATTAAAGCCCTTCAAACTCTGCTGGTTGGAATTAGTGGTTGTGGCAAGGGCAGACTGTCTGAACATGAATTTATCTTAAATTCATGGTACAGCTGCAGAAAAAGCGTCACAGGATTTACTCCATAACCACTTCTAGTTCTGCTTTGCAATTCCAAAATACACAGCACCAAGCCAAGTAAATACTGTGGCGGGGTACTAATGATTCCTTAGTCAAAGACACATGTACTGAATGTGATTGTTCAATTCTGATGTGCATATTTGGATTCTTGCACATTTACACTGAATAAAATTTTATTCTGGATTTTTGACCAGTTGCATTTGGATGGAGTTGGTAAATGATGCATTTATCAACTAAATGAAGATTTTTTTTTTTTTACTCTGGGTTTTTGCAATTAGATGGAAATTGGAATTCAATTAAATGTACAAAAACAGCATTTGAAATATATTTTTTTACTAGTTAAATAAAATTAAACTGCTGGATACATACAATAAATAAGCTTAAAATGCTTTGCATTTAAAACTGAGTTATTAAATAAAGGTCATTCATTTTAGTTATTGAATTAACAGAATGTTTCTGGTCACCATGGGCCAGACTGTCAAAGGTATTTAGGTGCTTAAAGATGCAGATAGGCACCTAACCTGCCACAGCACTTTTGAAAATCGCACGAGGCACCTCACTCTCATTGAAATAAATGAGTGAGATACTTAAATTGCTTAGGGGCTCTTGAAAATCCCATGAGGCACCTACCTCCCATCATTTTCAATGAGAGTTAGGTGCCTAATGGAATTTTTGAAAGTGCCATAGCAGGTTAGGTGCCTATCTGCATCTTCAGGTGTCTTAAATACCTTTTGAAAATCTGGCTCCATGTCCTTCATGTTTTTAGAGTTAGTAGATCTCATCCTCTATCACCTTGTTTTTATTCATAGATTGGAAGAGGAAAACAAGTTGACCTGCTTTCAACTACCAGTGGGTTTGTCAAGTTTGAATGAACTAGTCCAAATGAAAAAAATATTCTCTCTGAACCTGCTAACTAAACTGAAATCAAAAAGAAATAAGACAAAAGCTTTTCTGCACAAACAACTGGACTTACAGTCACCCCACGGTAGAGGCTGAAAATAATACAGATGCTTACTTAATGTATTATTTTAATGTAACATTTACAAAGCTTGAGTTGACCTTGAAAGTTAAATATTTTTTGACTGATTCTGTATATAGTGAAAAAAGCAGCACCCTTCCAATAATTAATTAATTTGAGGATGATTCATTGTTGCAGCATTTTATTACTTAAATTATTTTAATAGATTATTGTAAGTTTAGGCCTTAAAATAGGTTGTCATAATTTCAAATTTTAAAAATCTGTTTAAAAGATAAAAATTAAATATAAATTCAGTTTTTTTATATTAAAAAAAAAATCAATTTGTATCCACTTTGTTCTGAAGCATTTTATTTTGAGATTGTTATATATTTAAACCTGATATAATAATATGGGTAACAGCTACAAAATCAGTTGAGATACATGATTTGCCTGTTCAGTTAAACTGAATGCATCTGGAAGAAGGTTAGTATAAACTGCATGAATTGAAAAAGTAATGGCATTTTCAGAGATGCCATACTCTGCTTTTTGGTTCATCTGATAAGACAGACAAACCAACTGAAGATAGCACAAGGAAAGAGAATAAAGAATTTAATCAGGATTAAAATAAGTACCGTATTGCCTGACATCCACGCAGATCTGGTCCCCTGAAGCGGTCATATTTGTCTGGAGTGATTTGATGACTTCACAAGTTGACCATATGTTATAGAACATAAAGACAGGCACAGCAGAAAAGCCAAAGACCCCAAGCCAGGACACTCCAAGCACATATGTGAGGAAAACAAACTGGGCAGAGAAAACACATTTCAAGTTTAATTCTCTGAAGTGAACAGAATGAATATGCTCTCTCCGGGGGGAGGGGTATCTATATTTTAAATAAGCTCCTACAAGTCATTTTCAGGAAGTTAAATATTAAAAGCCAGTTGCCATACAATTTTTTCCTTGTAAATAGGATCTTTTGGGCAGTAGGAAAATGACCAGGCCAGCATTTCTCATTTCTTGCTTGCTGTTTTCTTTAAACAAATACTTGGCTCAAAGGCAGTAGTGAACATGTAAGACTCAAATGCTCCATTTTTAATCTGCTTGAGTAAACAGCTTGGTCTTCTGAAAGAGCAGTTTATTAATCACAGTTAGAAGAATTCTAAACTGAAACAGGAATTCTGATTTTAAGTTAAAACCAGTAAATGCCAACAAATCAAATATAACAGATTTTAAAAAATCAATTATATACCAGAAATACAAGAAATTCTCTAATTCTTGCCAGCTGTACACTATGCAGGGGGATCAAACCATGCACATCTCTCTGGAGATATGGTGGGGTCAATTCTGAACATAAATTTAAGGAAACCCATTTTTGTCTCCTGAAAAATTAATCTGGGTTCCTAAAATGAGACACCAGAAACCCTAGCAGGGGTATATCAACTAAGACAAGCTGTTTAAAAGTGTTTTAAATTAACAAGACAAAAGATCATAGACATGAGATGAAACATCTAGAATCCCTCCTTTGGCAGGATTTAATATCGTTGCAGAAGATGTCTGAGATATTAAACAGATACTACACTAGATTTTGGCTTTGGAACGGCCCCTAATTTTATTTTATGTTCTGAATTGTTTGCTAGACTAAATTTTGCTTTAGAGAGCATGTAGAGAGCATCATTAGAGAGGTGTGGTTAACACACTGGTCTGGGCTTCTGGAGATCGGATTCAGTTCCATGCTCTACCGCAGACTTCCTGCGTAGGGTGACCAGACGTCCCGATACAATCGGGACCATCCAGATATTTAGGCGTTTCTCCCGCGTCCCGATCAATCTTCAGTCGGGACCCTGCACTCTGCCCCCCCCCCCCCCCCCCCCGCCCCCCCCCCCCCCCCCGCCCAAACCCCCAACCCCCCCCCCCCCCCCCCCCCCCCCCGCCGCCCTTCTCCGCTGGCAGCACTCGGCTGTTCTCGGCTTTCCTCACACACACACACACACACACACACACACACACACACACCCCCGACTGCCCGCAGCACTGGGCCACAGTAGGGAATTGGGAGAGGGAGCTGTTTGTGTCGTTACAATTTAAGTGGTGAACACTGCAGGGCAGGAACTGGGTTTTGGGGGGGGGGGAGAGGGGGTTGTTTTTTACTTTTGTGTATAGTTAGTGCCTAGCCCAGCGAAGCCCTGGTTCTGGTTGAGACCTCTGTTCACTACCCTGATACGTATAAATAATACATTTAGAAGGCACTAGTCCTGTATCTCTAGCTTAATTGAAACATATGTACCAATTATATTGTAAAAGTTATATCTAGGTACTGAAAATACGTCCTCCTAGTTTGTATTAAGGTACAGAGGTGAAAAACTGGTTTTGCCAGACAAAGGGACGTATTTTCAGATTTCTCCCTAGATTCCTACGTAGATTAAGTATTGTAAAGCCAACGCAATGGAAACCCCTGTGAAAGTCAACAGGAAAAACAGGTCAAAGCGGGATGTGAAACAAACAGGAACAAGGGAAGACACCTTAGAGCCAGCATCCCTGGAAAGAAACCACAGGGATCATCCTGTCTTCGGGGGAGAAAACAATGAGTTTGGGGAAATATAAGAAGCAAAAAGACATTTTGTCATCCTTCACTGAGGAAGCTAATAGGACCGCACTTTTTGCATTCATGAAAATTGGATCCTGGCCACGTGGGCTAGTGACAGTGAGAGGTTGCTTTATGTGAGAAACTGCTTTAGACAAGAATTTTAGCCTGTTACAGTTAAGTTTAGACTGTAAGATAGAACTTGTTCTCATTATCCTTGCTCACTATCTCTTAAATCTTAATCTTTGTAAATAAACATATTTGTATTTATAGTAAGTAGATTCTAGTGCTGGTTTGTTATAAAGGACCTGATCCTGAATTGTACCACTCAGTGTGTACACTGTCTCTTTGGGGACTGTTTGCCTGGTAATTACCATGAGTGGCTAGTGACGGGGCTGGATGCTGCAAGGAGGACTCGGGGTTTGGTGTGTACTTAGCACTAACCTGCACAGGGAGGGCAAGGTCTGCGGTGAGACCTGGAAGTAACTGCTTGGTGGACAGAAGCTGTTGGTTTCAGGGAGCTGAACCACAGTAGGCATAAAGAAGATTGCTTCACGCTAAGGGTATGTAGTTGCAAGGTATCTCAGGACCCCAGGGGAGCATCCCACATGGGCATTGTTTTGTACGTAAAATTACCTTTTTTCCCATTTTAGCATGTAGCCAAACTTTGCTTTGGCAGCAGTGACCATAAATAGATGCGAGACTGTGATGCCAGGCCAGACCTTTGTAAACCCAGCCTACCTCAACCTCAGCAGCCTTGGAGGAATTAAAGCTGTTACTGAAATGTAACTGCCTTGGCCTCTCCAGTTGTATTGGCCTCCTGTGCAGTTCAGCGTTTAACTTAGCAGAACTCAGCATCAGTGAAACTGGTTCCAGACTATCTACTATCACAGTCGTCCACTTTAGCAGTAGTATTTCAGTAGTGCCCCAGTCTTCCAGTTGGGACTTGGGACCAGTAGCGTTAGCCACTGTACAAACAGAATAGAAAGCCCATGGCCTGAAGAGCTTACAGTCTAGTGTGAGACAAGGCAATCAAGAGGGTGTGAGAAACAAATGGAGGGCCTTGGGAAGGAAGACAAAGCTAAGAGTGATGGTAACCTGTCGGTACACAGACCAGCTATGTGTACCACTCAATGCTTCCAAATCAAAAAGGAGGTTTTTTAAACTACAAAACATAAATAAACTAGCTATCAGAATCTCCATGGCCCTCTACTAGGCCATTGTCGGGGGCAGTTCTCCATGAGCATTACTGTAGAAATGGATCTGAAGGACAGGAGCATCTGAGTGGCTGCATGGGTTAGTTTAATGAGGAAAAGAGTGATCCAAAAGAAAGTTAAGAGGAAGGAGGGTTGGGGTTGAGGGGGAGTCACTGAGGGAGAAGAGTATTGCTCAGTCAAGCTGATGGGAGAGCTGAAAGACAGAGCAAATTTGTAGTGGAGAAAGTCCACATGGTCATGGGACTTTGTCCAGAGACACTAAGCAGCATGGGAGCAAGGCAAAGAGAGACTGGATAACCCAGGGTTGATTGGTGGGATGGATTTTGCAGTGGAACAAAAAGGCAGAGAAGCCGTGGGGGGGGGAGGGAAGGCAGGTGCTTGCAAAAGGCCTAAAGGTCATGGGTGTCTATTTCTATAGGACCAGACTCTTTATTCATACTAAACAGTACTTCACTCCAGAAGTATTCCCATTGACTTCAGTAAGGATATGATGGTGGGGGGGGGAGAGGGGAAGGAAGAGGGGCTGGCAGGTTGTGTGTTTTTTTTTTTGTTTTGTTTTTTTGTTTTTTTAAACACAACATGAATATTATGGGAATCCTTGACTCCTATGATGGCCAGGAAAAATGCAGTCTTAATGATGATCTGATATGACTCCTCTTTATAGCACTGGCATCCAACAATCAATCATTCTGGAAGCTTGGAAATCTAACATATCTGCTAGAACTGAATCAGCAGCATGGGAAGAGGGAGCTGGCTGCACTGGCAACAATTACATACAAATTATAATTGCCTAGATCTGTAATGTTACACAGACATTTCCCTTTTTATGTTCAATTAGTAACATCATTTTAATTGTTAATGTATCTTCTTAGAACTCTTATTACTACTTGTCACTTCTAAATTCCCACATTTTATGATGGTTCAATTAGCATATTTGTTGCAATTTCTACCTCTGCTACTACAGTAAAAGAGTGGTCAGATTTTTCAAAGTCAGGAAAAACTACATTTTTGCGCCTCATTTGAACATGCATTTATCACAGTTGCATGCAACATTGGTATATGCATAAGGAGATGAATAGTCACTTATGTGATTGCAGTTAACTAACATGCACAGGTAATTATGCACTCAAAGTGAGATGTGCAAATGTATAGGCATTTTTGCATTCCTGACCTTTGGAAAATAAAGCCTTAGATATAATTCAGTTGTCATCTTGTTAATGTCACACTTGCCAGAAAATAAAATGCTTCTAAAATTAAAAATGACCTAACTGACTTAATTTAATATTAGCTTTTTGAAAAAAGTGTATTAAATAACGCAGTTGAAAAATTACTCTCTTTGTTCAATACAAACATGCTATTCCCTTTGTATGCAATCTTGAGTCAGTTGCTTTCTCTCTATGCCTTGGTTTCTCATCTGTAAAAATGGGACAGTAATACTTGTCTAGCTTTCAGGGGTTTTGTGAAGCTTGATTCATTGATATTTGAAGGACTTTGTGGCTCTCAGGTGGAATGCACTATACAAATTTAAAGTTTTACTATTTTTTAAAATAATCCTGCATAAACTCTACTCTCGAAGAGTTTTGTAGTACTACTCTAAGAGTCTCTAATGCCATAGTTCCCAAACTTCTTCTGTTGTGCTCCTCCTTACCTGTAATGGAACCTGTCCAGGCCTGCCCTCATGTGGAGCACCACCCCACCCCACCCCACTCTGCTCTCAGCCCGAGCTGCGATTGGAAGCCGAAGCTGCAGGTGGGGCTGAAGGCAGAGTGAGGCGGGGTGGCGCTCCCTTCCCTCCCCACATGAGGGAAGGCCTGGGCCCCCCTGCATCCACCCGAATGTTCCTCCATGCCCCCCTAGGGAGGCACGCCCCAGACTGGGTACTACTGCTCTAATGCCAACTCCAAGCATCACAACTGTTTAAGGCCCAAATGTACTTAGCACCTGGGTTGAGCATTACAAAATTTACAATCTACAACCATGAAGCTGAGTTTAGAACATGTAAGTACCTAAATAACTCATTCTGCAAAGTTTGGATCCAGCTGAGCTTCCCCAAAGTGCAAAGACAAGATGGGTCTCAGTGCACAATTCTGAATACCTCTCTCTTTGTGGTGTTGTGGAAAAATTTTTCCTCCACAGTGGGTATGAAAAGTTTAACTGGGCAAAAACATTGTGGTGAAACAGCATAAGAGTCAAACTAAGCCAGATCAAAGATCTTCGCTAATGTGAAGAAAATATTAAAAGGCAGCTACTATTCTTCCTTTGGGTAGCTGGGTGACCGCTGCAGTACTGTACTCACCATTCCACTGATGCATCGGCCACAGGCTGTTGTTTTGAACTCACCATGCAGTTCCTTCACAGCACTTGTTGTATAAAAACCTTCCGCCAAAAGGATTATTCCATATAAGAAAAAAAATGATGCAATGCCATAGATTACATACTGCATTAGCTGTATGCTAAAATGGAAGAGGAAATAAAAGTTAGTCAGACTTGGAGTCATGTTAAAACAAAGCAGTCTTACCTGATTGTATTAAGGATGAGCAAATTCATACTGCCAAATATCTATTCAAATATTGTGGATCTGTTTAAAGAAGAGGGTCAGGGGCGTGTGTCCCAGCCTTATGATGCTCATTTTACAGATGTGGAAACTGATGTGCACCAGAGGGACAATGGTCTAGGGCCTGCCTGGGAGTCAAGAGATCTGGGTTTTAATCTTGCTTCTTACACTGACTGGCTGTATGACTTTAGGATAGTCATGATCTTTGAGTGTCAGTTCCATGCCTGCAAAATGGAGATATTTCTGTACTTCATAAGGTGTTGTGACCCTTAACTTAATGTTTGCGCTATGGTACATATGTAGGAGCAAAATGCTTGAAGTGGCAAAGGCTGGAAGAGAATCTGGATATTCTGGCCACCTAGCTCTGTGCTCACTCCTAAGGGCCATGTTGCCTGTAAGGAGACAGCATCAACAGCTCCAAAATTCACACCCCTCTTACACCACCTACCCAAATTCATCTACATACATACATATTTTACAGTGCATGAAAATGATGTGATATTTTCCTGAGAATATGCGAATGAGCATCACAGTCAATTTTAACAAATTCTTCAGTGCAGGAGTGAATCCATAATTTCATAGCAAAGGTACAAGAATATCAAGTATGGTTAAAAATATAAGCCAGGAGTGCTAACCTACTAAAAAATATCTGCAGGTACTTTTAAACCCCTCCAACTAGATTTGTCTATTTCCATTAACAGTTGGTATTTCTCGTTAGGTTCCACACAGCCTGTGTCCATAGGAATTCAAGTACCAATTGCTCGTTTCCCTGAAACAGTGCCACTGTAACCATGGTTGCCGATAGATAGTTGGTCACAACAGCTCTCTCCCATGTGTTGCTATCAAGAGTTCTTGCAAAGCTTGCTCCCTGTCGGTTGGATTTCCTCTTCAGTTAAACAAATGAACCCCGTTACTTTGCACATTAGGCTTTGTTACACTCACTCAGTTCCTGAAGCTCAGCTGGTGATGCTACATGTCATCGCCATACATGCTATGGTTCTGCTGCCTTTGTAGAGCCCTGCAAATCCATGGATATCCACGGATCATTTCTGTGAAGTGTGGCTCAGATGCAGATACAAATTTTGTATCCATGCGGGGCTCTATACATGTGTATAGCATGCATAATATACTAGCACCTTGTCAACGGGTTTTTAGATACTATTAGATAAGCTCTTGGCCTAGGGTAAATTGTCACCAGACAATCAAGGGCCGGGTGAACAAGATTGGAGGAGAAAAGCTTTATTTCTCGATAAATGGGATCCAGCAGTAGCTCATAAAATGAAGTACAGGGAGAGCTGTCAAGAAGAGGGGAAGATGACAGGGAAATTCTGAGAGTCCATGTGCCTTAAAGTAAAAAATGACCAGGGGAGCATACCAGGATCCTACCCAACACACCTCTTAATCCCCCGACACCAATGGCCTCGTGCTGGGGGCTAGAAGAAATGGCTTGGCAGAAGAGGGCAGCTAAGCATAGTTACAAGGGCTCTACCTGCCTACTTTCAACAGCTGAGCATGCAGGGCTCCCATCCCTTGCTAGGCCAGGAAACACAGGACGTGATCCCATTGCTAGTAGGATTCTCCAGCCTCAGATCAAAGCTCTTGGGCACTCTGTGCACAGTAATGCACTTCCCTCCTCACAACCTGCTCTTGTCCTATTATTGATCATGGGTCTGGGGGCATTGCTCATGTAGTTGAAATTCTACAGGGCTCAGTCCTGCACTGTGCCTCTGACTAGTGTAGCTCTGTAGCATGTGCAGAATGAAGGAGAGTGCAGCAAGGGTGTCCCATCACAGCTGGCTGACTCACTTCACAGGAGTGAGTGTCACTCTTGTTTGCATATAGTTTGCCTTCCCCATAATCAGTTACTAGCGATGATGCACGTAGCTCTGCACCAGTGATGATTTGGTTTCCTACAGTCTGCTCCTCTACATTTTTAGGGCCCTCCCACCAGCTGGAAACAGCTGACATTTTGTATTTGATTCAGATCCAGCTGTTACAGAGGAGACAAACTGTGTTCCCGTTAGGACTTTACACCTGTTCTTCCTGTTTTGTCTAGCATAAGAAGTCATTCAGGCTGAAACTATATGCTGAATCTCCGTGCATGGAAGTGATAACACTAGACACTTTGTGCGGTGTATATATTATTTAGAGAAAAGAGCCTAAGCCTCAGAGTTTGGATCCATCTCTAATCTCAGTTGTGTTTTGCATGATGGGGTGTTTTGCTGGAATTCTTTCATGAAGTAATGGAAGAGTGGCATACTTACACTTCACTCAGCAAAGCATGGTCACTGGAGTTTGTGGAAAAGTGTTGTTCAAGGATAGATACGGTTCCAGTGAGAGCCACATGACCACAGCCACAAAACAATGCTACCCCAGAAAAGCAGAGAATGGTTGCCACCAGTGAAGCATATGGAACTCCTCCCAGGCACTTAATGCAACATTCAAAGCAACCTAAGCAGAAAAGATGAAACAAAGGAAACATTATTAAGCACAACAGCAAATTATGAGAAGAACATTCACTTTTCATTTAGTACAACCGGTGGGGGCTGGCTCTAAATTAAAAAAAATAATTTGGCAAAGTGATATGTGGAAAGCTAACAGATGAGCAGGAATTGTCGTCTTCTTGCATCTAGAGCAATGACCTTCAGCTTTGTCTGTGTGAACTCAAAACACACAAGTGAAAATGGGTTGAATTCTCGTATCTTTGCAAGATCAAGAAGAGGTCATTGGCTCATCAACTGAAAAACAAAAATCCATTTGGCTAAGTGAGTCCCTCTGATCTGACTGCTCTCATATAATACACTGCGTTTAAAAACTATTTGTAATAACAATATGAAGTGTCAGTTACACTACTGCCATGTTCATTAAGCAAGTCAAGGAAGCAAAAGCATTTGGGAAAGATAAAATGTATTTTATACTTCTACTGAATGAAGGAGTTATATACTCCAGGGTCTTCAAAATCTGGCTGCTGCACACTTGGTCTAAGGACTGTGTTTTTATGAAAAGTTAATATATGTCCTGAAAACAAAATTATATAAAACTATTTTATAAACTAGTTTAGCTACATAAAAGCTAATGGGGCTGAGAAGTGGCAAAAAGGAGACTATTTGGAATAAGAGAATCAGTTTTAAAAGGATAAAATTGATAGTTAAATAGAAAGAGGAAAAGTTCAAGTGAATGTTTGGCAAATAAATTGAGACTGAAGTTACCTTTTCAAAAGGAATAGTGAGCTCTAAACTGTACTATTCAGAAAGCATAGTGCATAGTTTTGTCTCCAATTTAATAGAAAAATACTGGATGTACTGTGTCATCTGGATGAAGGCCACAGTTATACCACCACAGAATCAGAGACATTGTGATAAGGTAAATTCAGTTGCAACTATCGGATTCCTCCTGATGGCACTGCTTGAAAATCCATTTGCTTGCAGGACTGAGTAATGTGAATTGGAAACAAACAGAGCTGTAAGTGTGTTATAATGGTAATGGCAATCTATATCAATTCATTGCTTCAGGGTGATAGCAATACACTGGCTAAGCATTCATCATTAGTGTATGTGGCATACAATTGTGCAAAGTATAAACCATTAGGATACTGCTCAATGGAACCACCAGTGTTGAATGTAACAGAAACAGCCTGTTTCTTCCAATATATGGTACAAAATGAATCATTAACCATTTAAAATTTATGGAGACAATTGGGTGATGCATACATCATAACTTCTGTCTCAAACGCCAAGAAAAGATGAGCAGATCTAGGCCTACTAAAGGAAGCAGGATTTTTTCTAACATGCTGATCTTCCAAGTAATGAATGAGTTTTGCAACAGGCTCGTCCAGGGGGCATTAGGAAGTAATGTGCGTACAACAACAGAAAACCCTCTCACCATTTTATCAATGTAAAACTCTTTGTTTTAACGATCTCTTACCAAATGCCCCTGTCAGGCTTAAACAGCTATTGCTACTTAGATGTCTTATGAAATGCCACTTCAGTAAATGCAGACAAGATTTAATTATATGGAAGCCAGCTGGGGAAGCTTTTACAGTCAAGTCCACAGCTGGAATCCATTCAGCAAGGAACTCTCTTCGTGCCTTGAATGCCACAAAATGAATACAGACAGCTTGACGTACTGCTCAGCCTGATGGGGTGGCGGGAAGGAAAGGAAGCATAAAGAAAGCTCAATGGGAAGAAATAGAATAACCATAGTACATATCATCACCGAGGTCCGAAGCTAAAGCAAACTTCAGAATGACAGATCTTGCAGGGCGATCACCGGTGATATGGCAAATTTGCAAATCAAGTTTAGAAGGAACAATATAATCACAAGTCCTTTCCATTGTTCAAACAGGATTCGTGGATGTTTAACTGGTCGGAGAACCCAGGCACTGCAGCCCCCTCATTTTATCATTCTGGCTCTGCATTAGTCTGATTTCTCGTCTTAACCTGTTGCTATTATAACATCATCTTTCATGCTGGACGGTAGGATGTCTGGCCTCCTTCAGAGTCAACATCAAAGCTGCTCTGTGGGTCAAAAGGCAAATAGTGCTGAAGAAAAACTTGGCAGAACCCTTAAATCCACATAGACCCATGGCTAAAGGTTACTCACAAATCTAGGTCATTCCAGTAGACTGGGCACTCCATGCTGTGCAGCCTAGTTTGCCATGCATTAATAAATACACCGGACTTGGGGGGGCGATCTCTTTTGATCGCACATTCAGGCAGATCACACCATTTCATCAACAGCCCCTTGTATTCAAACTGCCAGCAGTGGATGCCCCAAAGCTTTCAAATTCTTGTCTAGAGTAGACAACAGTGTTTATGGCTCAGGCCTCCTACAGCACTCTACTCCACAAGAGAAAAGGCAGCACCGTCCTTCTGGTGGCCTTCACTGTGTCCTGGGCAGATCACTGCCAAGATCCCACTTGATCAAGTCCGTAAAGCTACTGTGCTGTTTCGAGCCAGACATTAAACAAAACAGAGCCCCAGCAACCATCAACCCTTTACCTCTAGGCCAGCTGGATAACTGGGATACATCCTCTCTGTGGTCCTTGGGCAAACATACACCCCCAGCCCTCGCTTTCAACAAAACAAGGAAATACTGTCAATGGCGTATTTCCATGCTAGACATGGCAGCGTGTACGCCTGTACACGTGTTCAGTCAACAACTTTTATGATGGAGTTTATACACAGCTGTTCCTATCAAAGGGTATCAGCTTTGCAGAATATACACCACCTGTTTGAGGCGTTAGACTGCCAGACCCCCCAAAATCCTTATTTTAATATGACCCAGTTAAAGAATGTTTGCAGCGTTGCCGTAACACAGAAAAAATGTACTTTTTGGAGACACTACATTCACATCAATGAAACCTGTTAGTATGAGGTTTTTTCCTATTTTATTTTATTTTTTACACCCACGATTACCAATACACAACCAGGAGAAGTTTTTCAAAACCAGATACAGTAAGAGCTATGTTATCCGTCACTTTATCAGCCAGAAAGCTCTATTAACTGGCATTTCCGATATCTCCCAATACAAATCTTCAATCTAGTAACTGGGACTAGTATACTGCCCAGGAGGTTATGCAATTGCACATTCTGCACTCTGTTTTTATGCAAAAGAGGCAGAAGACAAGTAAGCAAGCTGATATCAGGGATTTATTCAAAAAAGCAGCTTCCAGGGTGTGTCATAGGGTCATTACAGATTCAGCTCAATCTCCTACACCTTCTACATCTACAATGATAATTGATATTGATAATGATGACCCTAAGGCACTGCAAGATCCTGAAGTGCCTTCTGAATCATCAAAGATTAAATTATGTTCAGTATCTTTTTAGTATCAGAGGGGTAGCCGTGTTAGTGTGGATTTGTAAAAAGCGACAAAGTCCTGTGGCACCTTATAGACTAACAGAAGTATTGGAACATAAGCTTTCGTGGGTGAATACCCAGTTCGTCAGATGCATGTCATCTGACGAAGTGGGTATTCACCCACGAAAGCTTATGCTCCAATACTTCTGTTAGTCTATAAGGTGCCACAGGACTCTTTGTCGCTTTTTCTTATCTTTTTAATGTTAAGTGTAAGGGTTAAGGGTGAACGCCATGCACTGCCCATAGTGATATGTAGTGTCATAAGATAACCCTACTGTATAGAAAACGTTACCTGTATACACCTAAGTGCTTCAAGAAACCAACTATTCTGCAGTGCAGTACTGCTGCTGGATTGGTGAGTACCTGTATACTATTTTATACTTGATTAATTTTATTGTATTCTAATTCTTTGAAAATTGGTATTCCATTGGTAAGTATAACTCTTAGTTAACTGGAATTTTTGACTAACCGGCACCCCCCATTCCCCCAACATGCCGGATAACAAAGCTTTTACTGTACTACTATTAGTTCAGACAAAATTAAGGATTTTTTCTTACCAAACTTTCTAGGCTAGTATTGGAGTATTTCCATTAAACATGGAGGTCCAGAACTTCAACTGATCTACTGAGCTATGTCAGGTTACGGCAGCTGAGAATCTGGCCTGGAGAATTTGATCTTTCTAGATGCAGTTTGCCTTGTACTCTGCTATATTTCTGAATCAGTAGGCAGTGAGTTACCATACAACTGAAAAGCAGTGGCAAATTTGTAAATCAATATGAAATAAGCAGACTAAGTTGATAACACATTCTGCTGCTGAAGCTGGGTATCCTGTAAACAATGTTGTAGTATTTAGTATGATTTGGGAAGTTTATTAAAAACATGTTAATAAAAAATCTGTTTGGCACAAATTCTGCTCTGTCTTTACTTTGCACACAGATAATACCATGCAATTTTTAGCACTCTATACACCCTAGCACATCAGCAGTGTAAAACAGTTTAAATATAAACCGGGCATTACAAATACACATCAATGCATCTGGCTTTCAATGGCCATTTTGTCTAACACATCACTAGAATCTTTTGTGCTGCTCAGCAGAATAAAAACATTTTTTGTCCTCAGGCTTGTGAGCAGAAGTTGCCATGGAGGCAGGTTAATAACAGCCCAGTGATTTGCCCAGAGCTGCTTGTGATCCTGGCTACAGATTTAACACACTCTCAGAAGGAGGCCAGCTAAAACAAGGACTGAGATTATTCTCTAGGGAATGAATGCTATTAAACACACACATACAACTCACCCTGAATATTTCTTACTAAGGGAAAAAAATAAATAGAGGAGAAAGAACAGGAACTAACTATTCTCTTGTAGTCTCTTGGAAACTATCAGTCATAGGAAACTGGTAAAGGATCAATCTATACATAAAAAGTCAGCGATGATACTGGTTGTTCATATAATTCTTCTTTGAGCTGCGATGAGCAATATACCCATAAATAGCTAGGAGAGGAGACTATATACAGACCACTGAATATGTGCAGGACTTTAGTCACACAATTCCCATTAATGCCATTGGCAGTTCTGTGGCCAAATCTCT